GGGGGGAGGAAGGTGGTTTAGGGGCATTTTGGGGGGGGTGCATGCATGAAGGGGGGTGCAGCAAGCACAGCGTGCGCATGTGCATGGATGCAGCTGGGGGGCTAGCGTTTTGCTGGGGCTTGGAGGGGAGTGTGTGAATGGTACTGGCATGTTGGGGTGCACGGCACATGCACAGGGGGTGTGTAGAGTGGTGCGCACGTGCATGAGGTGCATGCTTGCACGGTGCATGCATCCGCAGCTGCACGTGCGTGCAGGGCTGCATGTGTGTGATTGCAGCCCTGTGCATGCACCCGCCCTGCACACGTGCACTGGTACAGGCAGCTGCAGGGTGCAGATTTGCAGAATGCACTGGTGTGGGGTGTATGGTGCACAGTGTATATACGTGCACAATTCTGTGTGTGCATGCACCCCTTACATGCGTGCGCTGTGACGTGTGTGCATCGTGTGCACTGCGCGTGTGTTCACCCCCAAGTGCACGCACACAGGGTTGTATGTGCACCCCATACATGTATGGGAGTGCGTGCGTGCGCAAGGCACATGCATGCACAAGATGCATGCTGCAGACCCGTGGAGGTTCATGCACACCTGGTACTGCATGCATGGATGCACTAGGTGCACACTTGCACGGTGCTTGCAGGGGGTGTGTGCATACACAGCTGCACACATCTGTGGAGGTGCTTGTGTGTGACTGTACCCCTGTGCGTGAACCTGCCCTGCACACGTGCACTGCCTGAGCGTGCATGCAGCATTTGTGCACCTTCATCTGCAGACGTGCACCCCCACACACGTGCACACGGCTGTGTGGGGTGCTCTGCATGCATGCATGCACAGCACTGCATGTCTGCAGAGGTGCATATTTGCAGAATGCACAGGCGTGGGGTGCATCGTGCACGGTGTATGTACATGCACAATTCCATGTGTGCATGCACTCCTTGCACACATGCAGCGTGATGTGCGTGCAGCACATGTGTTCACCCTCAGGTGCATGCCACACGGGTGTAAGTGCACCCCGTCCACGTGTGGGTGCGTGTGCACGCACAGGGGCGCATGTGTGCACGGGGTGCACGCTGCAGACCTGCAGAGGTTCGTGCACACCTGGTGCACAGGCGGTACTCAGAGCCCCAATCCGGATGGGTTTTCCCCCAAAAGCTGCGATGTCTTTCTGCTCCGCTCCCCTCTGCAGGGGAGGGTGACCAGCGGTGGGTGAGTTGGTTGGAGTAGTGGCATCTTTACTGGGTTACTACTGGCCTCCTACTAGGTTACTATTTGCTTCCTATGAGGCTACTGCCAAGATACTACTGGGATACTTTCAGTAACCTTGCGAGGGACTGGTGAGGTACTATCAAGACACAGCTGAGATACTCTCAGGATACTGCTGGGATACTACTAAGGTGATATCGCTTTACTAAAATGCTGCCAGGATACTCTGTCCCAGCCTGCACGACCCTAAGGCTCTCAGGGTGGCACCAAGATACTGTCAGGATGCCATGTGGATGCTACTGGGATACTGTGAGAGTATTACTAGAGTACTATCAGGGCACTACCAGGATATTTCCAGCATCTTTCCAGGGTTGCTGCTGAGATACTATTATGAAGGTAGCACTGGTGCAGTGCTAACACACCAGCAGGGTACTCTCAGGATACTACAACAGATACTTTCAGCATAGTAGCATCACACTAAGATAACATCTGATTATTACATGGCACTACCAAGGTACTATCAGGACACTACTAAGGTGCTGATACTAATAGGATACTTTCAAGCCACTACTATGATAGTGATATAAGGATACTATTAAGATACTACCAGTTCAGTAAAAATGGTAGTGTTATGATGCTTTTAATGTGCTATCAGGGTACTTTTGGGCCACTATCAACAGTTTGTTGCTACTAGTAAAGTACTCCTAGTACAGTGCCTGGCTATCACCATATTTCTATACCACTTGTACTGTTGGGATACTACGAGGGTACTACTGGGATACTGCTGGTTGTGTAATAGCTCTGGCAGCAAAGGGACCGGGGAGCCCCAGTGTTGTAATTTGTGAGTAGCCCAGTGCTTCACAGGCGCCCTCTCCCTGCAGCTAAGGTGGTGCATCGGCATTGAGGAGGATGGAGGCGCCCCTAGTAAGCCTGGAGGAGGAGTTTGAGGAGGGGCCGGGAGGTGATGGGGGGACCCCGCAACGTACTCCGGACCCAGCGCTGGCTGAGTTGGAGAGTTTCTCCGCCGAGATGATGAGCTTCAAGTCGATGGAGGACCTGGTGCAGGAGTTTGATGAGAAACTCACCGTCTGCTTCCGCAACTACGACGCTACTACCGAGGGGCTGGCCCCCGTGCGGGGGTGTCTGCAGGCGCAGGAGGAGGAGGAGCACCTCCAAGATGAGGAGTGAGTAAGGCTCTTTACTCCTGGGGACGCTCCTGCTTGCAAAATCCACCCACCCCGTAATGCGAACAGGCTCCCTGCATTGCGGTGTGGTCATGCAACACGTCAAAGTAGCGGTGTAGTAACCTGTGAGTAAGCTGCATCCTGCCTTGCATGCTAGCGAGGTGTACCCCACATGCAACTCAGCCCCCTGCATCATGGCGTAGTCATGCAGCAGTGTGGAGTAGCTGTGTAGTGCCCTATGAGTAGCTGTGTAGGACCCTATGAGTAGGCCACCCTTGGGTCTGCATGCTTCTTTGCATAGTCACAAGATACACCCCATTCCACAGCACGCAGACTAGCCCACCCCATTGCAGTGTAGTTGCATGTGAGAGCAGCAGTGTAGTATCCTATGAGTAACAGTTCTCTGGGGCCTAGTACACCTCCTAGCATGCTTACAAGATCTCCACCGCATGGAAATCAGACCCCTGCGTTGTGGCGTGACCATGCAGCACCTTGGAGTAGATGTGTAGCTTCCTTAGAATAGCTGTGTAACATCCTTGGAGTAGCTGTGTAGCATCTTTGGAGTAGCTGCCCTACGAGGAGGCACAGGGGGGTGCCCCATGTCACATTGCAAGGGGTCATGGCAGTCTCCATCTATGGGAGGGGACCCCCCCGAGGGGGTGGTGGTGACTGTAAACCTTGAGTAAGGTGCGAGTAGAGCTTAGCCTCCTGCTTGCGACACACAAGCCATGCACCAAGGCAGGGGGGCAGCCAATCTGGGGCAAAATCCCCCCAATCCCGCCACAATAGAATGACATTTGCATTAAAATCTAAATTTTTATTAAAACTCTTTTTTTTGGGTTGCTAAATGCGGGTTTTTTTGGCCAAATTAGCGTCATTTTAATTCGTGTAATTTTTTTCTGGGGTTGTTTCTACATTAACACCTTTGTGATGGATTTTTTTTTTAATTATTTAATTCGGATTATTTCCTGGGTTGCAATTCCTAATATTTTTTTTTTCACCACACAAAGTGGGTGTTTTCAACCCAAAAACCCCCAAAATCTGATTATTTTATCTTTTTTTTTTTGCTTTTTTTCCACCTAAACCCACCGACGCCAAATCGTTTTTCAAAATTACCCAAATCGATGTTTTTTTCAGAGAAAAGAAAAAAAGAAAAGAACATTTTGACCAGCTGCTGGGAATGCCGCGCTGTCGCAGGCAGCCGCGCGGCTTTGTGCCACATTATTGTGTCTTTTTGGGGCAATTTGGGCAAAAACAAGGGGTTTTTTGTGTTTTTTGTTTTTCTTTTTCTTCCTCTTGAATGAGCCCTGTGTGAGTGTGTGGAGGATGGGCTGGGATCTTAGAGGCGCTTTATTTCCTGAATTATTAACCAATTCAGCCCAGAATTCACCCAGAAATCTGCTCGTCTGAGCCTGCGGGGTGCTGGCCCTTTAAGAGTGTTAAAAAAAAGCAATTTTGGGAGGATAATTGTTTTTTTCTTTAATTTCTACATTTTTGGTTAAAAATAGAATTTTCTTTTTGACATTTGCATTTTTTGCATTAATTAGTGAAATATTTGAGGGGGGATTCAGCTCAGGGGAGGAGGAAAAGGAGAAAAATACAAAAAAATTGTCAGTTTGGGGGGGGTGGGGGGCAGGAGGTTTTGGGGTGATTTGGGGGAATCGGGATGTGTGGGGATGCGGCACCATGTCGGACCAAAAATGCCATTTTTGGGGGGGAAAATGGGTGGGTTTGACTTAATTGGGGAGAGATTTGCTACTGGTTTTGGGCCCTTTGCCCCAT